CCTCCTGTGACCCCCGTTCTGGCGATGCTCCTGCTCTTGACTTTTCTACAGGCTCCCCCTCAGGGACTGCAGACATGATCCAAGAGATGGTTAGAGACTGTAGACATGATACAACAGATGGTAAAAGACTGCAGACATGATACAAGAGATGGTTAGAGATTGTGGACATAATATAAGAGATGGTTTGAGATTGTGGACATAATACAAGAGCTGTTCATAGATTGTGGTCAGGATACAGGAGATGGTTAGAGGTTGTGGACATGATACAGGAGATGGCTACAGGCTTCAGGACATATTATAGGGATGGTTAGATGCTGCAGACATGGTACATGAGATGGTTAGAGGCTGCAGACATACTACAGGAGATGGTTAGAGGCTGTGAACCTTCGAAAGGAGATGGTTATGGGCTGCAGACATGGTAGAGGAGATGGGTAGGGGCTATGGACATACTACAGGAGATGCTTAGAGGCTGTGGACATACTACAGGAGATGGTTAGAGGCTATGGACAAACATGATAGGGGCTGCAAACATGATAAAGTTAAAATCTGAACACCTATTGCCTGTGCCTCCTCTGCAGCAGCATGTAGTTCTTCTGGCTCCGGAGTGGCACTGACAGATGCCTGGCGGGAATCTCTCCTGCGTCCACCTCCCCATGCAGTCCTCTACTCCTGAGTGACACTGACAGACGTCTGGTGGATGGCTCTCCCGCTTTCCCATCCAGTCTTCCGCTCTGGCTCCTGAGTGACACTTACAGACTCCTGGTGGATGGTTCTCCCGCCTCCCCATCCAGTCCTTTGCTCCAGCTCCTGGCTGTTGCTTATTCAAAAAAAAGGGGCCAAATGGCGCCATAATGTCACCATGCGTCTGAAACCTTGCCAGAGCCCAGCTGAACTCAGCCAAGCTTTTCCAATCTTTCTTCCCGCATGTGCAATGTTAAAGTCGGCTGAAAGTCATTTGTTTAATAGACAGCCGCCGACCATAAACATTTACAGACAGGCCATAATTTTTAAAATTTTGGGACTGTCCGTAAATTTACAGATGGTCGGCAACCCTGGTGGCCACACAAGGCTAAATTTGGAGTTTGCCTTGAAAATAGCCAGAATTTTCTATTAAGACTTAGATCATTAGATTTGAATAGAATTTGCTGCTAAGTACAGATTTTGTGAATTTCAAGAAGGATTTGACAGGTTTTTAGAATAGTACAAATTAAGGGACATTTGATGAAGAGATACATTTTTTATACTAAATTTCCAAATTAAGCTTTTAAAGCGATTGTCAATGCAATTAAAAGATAATAACACATTTATACTTACAGTACCTCTCCTTTGCAATTAAATTGTTCTTTCAATGGCATGCTCTTCTCGGGTACCCCGCCAGAGCTTCTGGCTCCTCCTCTCTGGTGAATGCCCCCCATTGGGAAGCTGTTTCCTATGAGGGCACTCATGCAGGCTTGCTCCCAAGTCTTAATGTCTTGGTCTATGACACAGACAGCAGGCTCAGCCCCACCCCTGCTGCCTCATCACTGGCTTTGACTGAGCCATTGGCTCCCGCTGCCTCAGCAAAGCCTTTGAAGTGAGGGGGAGAGAGCCACTGCAGACGGGCACAACACTGGATCAAATGAGGGCTCAGGTATGTGCAAGGGGAGGTGAGGGGGAAAACTTCTACCTAAACATTTTTCACCCTAATGCAAGGAATGCTTTAAGGTAAAAGATCTTTAGGCTTTATAACCACTTTAGGAGATGAGTGTGAAATCTTAAAGTTCTTTGATTTATCACACATTGATTATTGCACACACACCTTTGATGTGGTTCACCCCACACCCCACTTTACTGCCTCTTTCTTTTTCTTATTTTGTTTCCTAAAACATTTACTAATCTTTTCTGCAACAAGAACAATTCTAAATATACTTTATTTTAATGTTAGTTATATTATTAGTTAGTTTTGGGGGGGGGGGGGGGGGTTAAGAGACTTGTTTTGTAAGTTTTTGCTTGTGAACTTGATAAATTCCAATAATGTAATTGAAAGTTTCTAACATAAGAATTTCACACATCAAAACAAAATTCTGTGTACCACAAAATACAATAAAATCCAGCACAGTCAATTGCGTGAGAGAAGTTTATTAAAGTTGAAGGCACTGTTTGCTGGAGTTATAACAATATTAGTTCAGAGCTGCCTAGCACGGCAAATTCCCAGTTGTAATTATTTAAAATATCACATTCCAGTTGCTCGGACAATAATTGATTTATAGAAATGTGAGATCAGAGATCAAACTTAGGTTTGCTAGTAAATGAAATTAAATCAATCATGTGTTTTTAATAAATATTTATTTTTAGATGATTTGAAGAGAAATGTTTGTCACTGGATTTATATTAAAATACATTTACCAAGAATGCACATTGTACATTTTTTCATGTCATATTAAAAGTCTTCTAATGCATCAAAACAATTACAATATAACAAAATTTTAAGGAAGCGCTCAACTTATATGCAGATATCTATTAGTCATATAAGGAATTGATTTATTTTTCACCTCCTTCAGGCAATGGAGAAAAAACAGAGCTCTAAATATGTTTTCTCTACAATTAATCTATCCAATTCAAGGTGCCTATAGGGCAGCTTAAAAAGGAGCTTGAACAGGGTGATCGATCTATCCATCTCTGGAATTTTCTCTAGTTTTGTTTATGTTATAAGCATCTTTATTGTTATATACTGTATATGGTCTTTTATGGTTTCCTGCTTTTAGCTATCTTTTCTGCTATTTTAAAGATTTGATAACTTTTCTTCTATTTTAAAGATTTGATAAGAATAACTATCACCAGGTGAAAATAATCCTCAAGGGGTCCCTGTGTACATAGCACTTGTGGCCATTAAAACCTGAGCAATGGATATTAAAAAAAAATGGATGTTAAAATGGATGTTAAAAAAATATTTTCTGTCATTTCTGGCTGTAGCTACTAGGAGTTACAGCCAGAACTGAGCCCCTCTATTTTCTGCAGTGCCGTGTCTCCTCATCTGTCCAGTTCTGTACACACACTGGACTTGTCACTAGCTGTATGTGTATGTGACGGAGGGTAGGCAGGACAGAACACACAGAGCAGATGGCAAACGCACAAAGCTTTATTGATACAAAAAATGACAGTCACTCAATGGGGGGATTCCAGGGAGGGTGACCTTGCCAATAAGGGAGCAGCAAGGAGGGGCCAAAACACTTGTAGTTTAGTACCAAGGGCAAAGAAAAAGTCACTGTAGCAGATTGTAATCCAACCGGGGGGGGGGGGGGTAGGGGCAGCACAGTGGCTAAATGGTTAGCACTTCCGCCTGGCAGTACTAGGGTCGTTGGTTTGAATCCCAGCCACGGCACCTCCTGCCTGGAGTTTACATGTTCTCTCTGTGTCTGCTTGGCTTTCTTTCGGGTACTCCGGTTTCCTCCCACACTCCAAAGACATGCTGGTAGGTTAATTGGATCCTGTCTAAATTGGCCCTTGTATATGAATGTGAGTTAGGGACCTTAGATTGTACACCCCTTGAGGATTAGGGACTGATGTGAATATACAATATATATGTAAAGCGCTGTGTAAATTGATGGCGCTATATAAGTACCTGAAATAAATAAATAATAAATAAAATAAGCTGTAAAGACAAGATTTGATACAAGTACAACATAAAGTCAGATCACATTCAGAATTGATGTTTAAATTCTTCTTAAAAGATAAGTATGGGTATAAAAAAAAACACATTTATACTCACCTAGGTGGATGCAGCATTGATCCCCTCTGGCTCTACACTGATAACACCACTGATTGCTTAGTTCTCCCCTCGGCTCTGAGCAGAGAACCATGACTGTCAGCCACTAGCTCTCTGCTCTGCCCCACTACCACTCACTGGAGCACCGGGTTGGGGAAGGGAGGGAGCGACTGGCTCAGTCCTCCAGTAGTGCAACTGAGAGGCTGAGGCAGGTGCTGGTCAAGACTTCTGGGTGAATTCTAACCATATGGTCAGGATCCTTCCAGAGCCTGGACCAGCTCCATGATGTCAGCCAACAGCAGGCTTTCACTGAACAAACTGCACTCCTGTGATCTATAAGAGAGGTATAGCCAAAAAAAATCTTTGACTATACTTCTCTTTTAACTTGTTTTGTCCTTAAGTTTTTTTTGTTGTTTTATTATCCACTTATAGGAAAGGAGGTTCATCCCATCTCACCTGTTAACCATTATTATTTGATAATTGCTTTATTACTTCCATGAACATGCAATGGACTCAAATCAAGGATGTTCTTCCCTTGGCTCTGTTCCCCAGGTGTCAGTTTAAAAAACGTTCTGCTACTGGGAGACATTCTGGATTTACACCTTAGGAACCCTTGCTCCAGGGGGTCTCAACAAAATGTTGGAAATACACACCCTGTTATAATTCTATCTCCAGCTGTATTTTTATAATATTACATATAGCAACTATTATAGCTATGATCTTACATATTCCCTCATAATCATTCATATAATTTATATTTACAGGTGACCTATAAGTTCTTGCTACATTGAACCATAATGGTCTATGGGGGAATCTTATCTACAGTAAGTATTGCCTTTACAATACCAGATTGATTCATACTCCTCATAGACACATGTATACATATCCCTTTTCATATGCATAGGCGTATATATAGGTGTTCATCCCCACTCCCTGTTTCCTATGTAAGTTTTTTCCCACATACATATGCACACCGGGGACCATAGTTGATAGCCCCTTCACTTATTCACTTATTGTACCTGTGCTCTAGTTAGTGGTGTGTATGCATGCATACATTTGTGCTCATGTTCATGCATGTGTGTATGTGTATGAGTGCTTACATGTAGGTTTGTATATTTATACGTATTCTTCACATATATATATATATATAATTTTTATATAAGATCCATGAGTACCTATTGCATTTTGTGTCTAATATCTTTCCGCTGTAATAATTTTTTATCAATCCCTTTTATTCATTATATATTAATTGTATATATGCAATATATGTATTTACACTATATTGCCAAAAAGATTGGTACACCCATCCAAATCATTGGATTCAGGTGTTCCAATCACCTCCATGGCCACAGGTGTTTTAAAATCAAGCACCTAAGCATGCAGGCTGCTTCTACAAACATTTGTGAAAGAATGGGTCCCTCTCAGGAGCTCAGTGAATTCAAACGTGGTACTGTGATAGGATGCCACCTGTGCAATAAGTCCATCCATGAAATGTCCTTGATACTAAATATTTCACAGTCAACTGTTAGTGGTATTATAGCAAAGTGGAAGCAACTGGGAACAGCAGCAACTGTAACTACAAAATTATAGGGCGGGGTCAGTGCATGCTGAAGTGCACAATGCGCAGACGTTGCCAACTGTTTGCAGAGTCAGTAGCTAAACTTCATGTGGCCTTCAGATTAGCACAACAACAGGGTGTGTAGAGAGCTTTATGGAATGAGTTTCCATTGCTGAGCAGCTGCATCCAAGCCTTATATCACCAAGTGAATTGCAAAGCGTTGGATGCAGTGGTGTAAAGCACACCGCCACTGGACTCTAGAGCAGTGGAGATGTGTTTTCTGGAGTGACAAAACATGCCTCTCTGTCTGGCAATCTGATGGACGTGTCTGGGTTTGGCAATTGCCAGGAAAACTGTACTTGCCTGACTGCATTCTGCCAAGTGTAAAGTTTGGTGGAGGGGGGATTATGGTTGTGAAGTTGTTTTTCAGGGGTTGGGCTTGGCCCCTTTGTTCCAGTGAACTCTTAAGGCTTCAGCATACTAAGAGATTTTGGACAATTTTATGCTTCCAACTTTGTGGGAACAGTTTGGGGATGGCTCCTTCCTGTTCCAACATGACACCAGTGCACAAAGCAAGGTCCTGTTGAAGACATGGATGAGGGAGTTTGGGGTGGAGGAACTTGACTGAACTTGAGTCCTGACCTCAACCTGATAGAACACCTTTGGGATGAATTAGAACATAGACTGTGAGAGCCAGGCCTTTTCATCCGACAACAGTGTCTGACCTCACAAATGCGCTTATGGAAGAATGGTCAAACATTCCCATAGACACACTCCTAAACCTTTTGGACAACCTTCCCAGAAGACCTAAAGCTGTTTTAGCTGCAAAGGGTGAGCCAACTCAATATTGAAGACTACAGACTAAGACTGGGATTAAAGTTCATGTGCCTGTAAAGGCAGACGTCCCAATACTTTTGGCAATATAGTGTATATCTTATGGCTCAGTAAACCATATACAGATGAGCAGATTCTTTGTTGATGTCTTTTATTCAAAAGCTCTACTTAACATAGCTATTGTGGGCACAGAGAAAGTGGAAACGGTCAGCTTGTGTTGTGAGTGATCATAGCTGGAGAAAAGAGCTTTCATTCACACAAAAACACAAGCTCACAATAGCACCCGCTAACTTATATACTTGTCTGACACAGACTAGTGTAGCACTTGCTTTTTGCTGTTGTCAGCTTCTGTTTTTTGTGAATTAAAGTGTGTTTTTCTTCTGTTGTAATCCTTAACAGCACAAGTGTCAGTGTACTCAATAAAATGCCTTCTCTGTATCCAGAGAGAGAAACAGAGACGGCATCTCTATTTCTATTTGTGAAAAAAAAGTATATAAATGTAATTTATATACATTGCATGACCGTGCAATTGTCAGTTAAAGTAACACAGCATCGCAAAAAATGGCCTGGTCAGGAAGGTGGGTAAATCTTCTGTAGGGCAAGTGGTTAACATACTAGGATTCCTAGGAGGATTCTCTCCTCCTAGCCTAATCATAAGTGGTTGCTGAGCAGCAGGACCTGCACTGTCATCAATGCCCACACTACACTCTTGTTGGTAAGCAATGAGAGGCATCCCCATTTCTAGGCATCAGCTCAGATCCTTTGCCTCGAATGGCCAGTGTAGCTATGGTGTCCTAAGTGAACATCACAAGCTCAAGACTCCAGGTTTTTGGTAGTGTTAAGCTTCCTGGATCATGTACGTAGTGCCTTACCAAGAGCCTTGCCTCTGACTCTGTTTGCTGACCCTTTCCTGAGTAACAGATATGCTACTGATTGTTGTCTGACCTGACCCTTACCTGAATAATGCATAAGCTTGGCAATACAGTGGCTAAATGGTTAGCACTTTCACCTGGCAGTACTAGGGTCGTTGGTTCAAATCCCAAACACGGCACCACCTGCCTGGAGTTTGCATGTTCTCCCTGTGCCTGCATGGATTTTCTTTTTAGTACTCCGGTTTCCTCCCACACTCCAAAGACATGCTGGTAGGTTAATTGGATCCTGTCTAAACTGGCCCTAGTATGTGTATGTATGAATGTAAGTTTATGTTTGTATTCCCGTTGAGGGTTTTAGGGACTGATGTGACTGTACTATATATATGTAAAAGTGCTGTGTAAATTGACTGTGCTATTTATACCTGTAATTAATTAAAAAATAATTACTAAAGCAATACAGTAAATAAGTTACTGATTGCTGACTGCCCTTACAATTGTCTGCATGACATATATGCTAATGATGGCCTCCTGCCTTGAGCCTTGCTTAGATAATGACATTGTCTGTTCCTAGCCCTGATCACTGCAAGCTTGGCATTCAGCCAATCACTAGTCCTGATCACTCTTACATATATTTAGCTCGAACCGTTTGGCATCTCGAGGTCATCTGATTTATCCAACCCACTCCTGCCTCTAAATACTGGTCTCACAAGATTTAAGTGGGAGGACATCAGGGGATTGCAGGGACAAGGTAAGTTACACTACAGTGTAATCCCGAGTGTGGCTCAGGGTTACCGCTTTTGGTACTGAAAATTAACCCCAAGCCACACTCGGGATTACCGCCAGGGAGGTTAAACATGTCCAGTAAAAAATTTAAAAAATCAAATTTAGTCATAAATTTAGGCCAAAATGTATTCTGCTACATGTCTTTGCTAAAACGAAATCCCAATATATGTAAATTAATTGGTTTACATGAAAGTTATAGCGTTTACAAATGGAGGTATACAGTATATACTGGAATTTTTTTTTTCTTTACTAGTAATGGTGGCGATCAGTGATATTGGGACTGCAGCGGACATTCTGACACCGGGGGAATTGACTTGATGTCACTGACATCCCCAGTGACACCAATACAGTGATAAGTGCTAATAAAAAGCGCTGACACTCTATTAATGGCACTGGGCAGGAAGGGGTTAACATGTGGGGAGATCAAAGGGTTAACTGTGTGCTGTTTTACTATGGGGGCTGTGTGTGTTTCACTGTAAGCACACTGCTTTGTATGACTCTGCTATGCAGAGCCATACAAAGCAGTGTGCAGGAGCTGACAGGGGAGAGATCTCTATTGTTTACATACAGGTCTCTCCCCTGTTGGAAATCCTCGGAGATCGCTGGGTGCAGTATTTCTGCTATAAGGTGGCACGAAAGCAGTTAAGAAAAGCAAAAGGTATACAGTCACAGCACAGAATTTCTTAAACACAGAGTTCAAACCTATGTACAGAGCAATAATGTTTACTGTCACAATCCAAAATCAAAGAAGATCAATATTATGCATGTAAAGATGCAATCAGCAATAGACAACTGTGAGGCAAAAGGTCCTGGAGTGAGCCTGGGAAGAGGGGACAAGGGAGCTAGAGAGTAGGAGGTCTAGTTGGTATTTTGAGGCTAGGTTACTGATGAAGCTGGGGTCGAGTTGTGGATGGCTTTCTACTTTTTTACAATTTTAAATGTAATTTGTTGGGTGAACGGAAGCCAGAGATGGGATTGGCAGAGAAGAGTAGCTGACACTGAACGGTTGGTAAAGTGGATGAGTCTGGCAGCAGCATTCATGATGGACTGAAGGAGGGATAGCTTATGTAAAAATAAGCCGATGGGGGGAGTTGAAGTAGTCAAGGTGAAAGCTGACTAGAGAGCAAATTAGAAGCTTTGTGGTATCATTAAGAAGAGGTATATTTTGGAGATGTTGCATAGGTTGAGACAGCAAGCTTTTGAACATTGATTGGATGTGGGGCTGAAAGGACAGTTCAGAGTCTGGTATGACATTCAGAATGATATGTCTATAAGTAAATTAGTGATGTGTGTGGAGACTGATGGAGTGAGCTGAGGGGTAGAGGGGTAGAGTGATAGATTTGGGTGTCATCAGGATTGAAATTGTATTGGAAGCCATGGGAGGCTATCTGACCCATGGAGGAGGTGTAGTTCAAGAATAGTCCAAGAACAGAGGCTTGGAGGACTCTGATGAAGAAAGGAGAAGGAGAGGAGGAAGTAAAATTGTAAGTGATGCTGAAGGTGCAGTGGCATAGGTAGGATGAGAACCAGCGAAGAGTACAGTCACAAAGACCAAAGGAGTTTTGCTTTTTCAGGAGGAGGGGTGGTCAAACTGCATCAAAGGCAGCAGAGTGGTCCTGGAGTAGGAGTATAGAATAGTGTCCATTGGTTTTAGCCATTTTAGATCATTTGTGAGTTTTAGGATAGCAGTTTGTGTGGAGTGTTGAAGGTGAAATACAGATCAAGAAGGTTATCCTCAGTGAGGTGGTCACTCGGTCAGTTGTAGACCAGATGTTCAAGGAGTTTGGAGGAAAAGGAGAGGAAGGAGATGGGGCATAGGTTGTTAAGACTGGTGGGGTTCAATGAGGGGTTTTTAAATTTGTGGATGACTAGTCCATGTTTTAGAGCATAGTGGAAGATGCCAGAAGAGAGGGAGAGATGGAAGATATGAGTTAGAGAGTGTAAAATAGAGCCAGAAGGTGATTGTAGCATTTGAGAGGGAACAGGGCCCAGGGAGCAGGTATTTAGGTGGCCATTAGAAAAAAGTTTAGCAACCTCATCTATAGTAGTGGGGTTGAATGAGTGAAGTAATAATACCTGTGGACATGGAGTGTTAAGTGGGGAGAGTTGTCTGTACAGAGGAGATCTCACAATGCATTTTATCAATCTTACTATTGAAGTGATTGACAAACCCCTGGGCAGTAAGTGAGTTAGTGGATGGAGGCAGTGGAGAATATTGCCGAAAGTTAAAGATAAGAGTTGACAGGGACTGGATGAGAAGTTATTATTACAGTGATAAAATAGGTCTACTTGGTAGTATGGAGACCGGAATTGTATTTTGGAGGGTAGATTAATATTGGTTGAAATTTTTCTGAGACTTAGACTTATGCCACAGGTGCCCAAGAGCTCAGCTACGTTTTCTGAGACTTCTGGTGCTATCTGTTTGCCAAGGTTGTTGGGGGTCGGGGTCTGATTCTGTGTTAGTGAGGGGGTCGAGTGTGTCCATGGAGGATGACAGTGAACTGTTGTGGCAGATGTAGATTGGGGCAGGACAGGGGTGAGATTTTGTCATAGAAGAACAGAGTAGAGAATAAACGGGTTAAGGTTGCAAAGGTTTCTA